CTAGGCCATGCCACAGGTCCCTACAGGGACATACCAGGGTCAGTCAGGAGGCTGGGGGAGGGCAAGGCAGGGTCACCAGGCCCAGGACTGCCCAGTTAGAATAGTTTCAGCTGCTCTGGGACCGGGGGCTGCCTGCATCTGGTCCCTGCCCCAGGATGACTAGGGCAGTGTACAGTGTCCTGGGGTGTGAGCCCACAGAGGCGGTGGCGGGCCCAGGATACAGCCTGCAGATGCATCAGCGGGCCTGAGATACAGCCGGCAAATGCATCAGTGGGCCTGGGGTGGAGGGTCGTGGTGAGACCCTCTAGGGTGGAGGGTCACGCTGGGACCCCTGTAGGGTAGAGGGTTGTGGTGAGACCCCACTGAGGTCCAGGACATTCTCTGTCCCCTCTGCATCACTCTGCTGGTGTCGTTCAGGAAGGTAGAGACGTGGCCAGGAATTGTCTTACATAAACCTTTATTTAGGGAAGGGTCTTTATCGCTGCTGTTGAGGTGGAGTATACCCATGGAGAGATGCAGCTGGACACAACGGTACATTGGACGTGCGTGCACCTGGAACTAGTGGGCCACGCTGCATGGCACACCCAGGGGACACACGGCACATTGGATGCATGTGCACCTGGAACCAGTGGACCACGCTGCACGGCACACCCTCCACACCCGAGCTTCCTTCTGCCCCAGCCCCACCAGCAGGCAACTGTGGCTTTGGTTTCCCATCCCTGGACTCCATGTTCTGTTAACAGGATTCTGTGGATTCTCTGCTGACCAGCTGCTCTCATGCAGCATGACTGGTTCTAGGTCTGTTCTTTGCTTTTCTCGTCTCTGTGGTTCCTTCTGGGTCAGTGCTTGTGTGGATGTGACCTCATCATTCTCCTGTTGCTGGGCACGTGGACTTTAGGCTCTGTCCATGGCACTGTTAGGAGTCAGGATGCTACCTACAGTCTCGTGTGACTTTTTGTGGTCATGGGTTTTCACTTCTCTTTGTAAATACCAACAAGTACAATTTCTGGGTAACACAGAAGATCCTTTTCGGAAAAGACTTTCCCTTCTCCACTGAAACACCCTCCTTGGGGCTGTCACTGTGCCACTCCCTGGGAGTGGTGAGGAGGCTCCAGGTCCTCTGGCCTCTTGTGCCACCCGGTTCACACCTGCAGCTGCTTTATGAGCTCCACCTAAAGGTGGTAATAATTTTTCCATGCCAACAATCAGTTGTATTTTAGATAAAGTAAGAGGAGAAAGAAGGGGGTCTTTCGTGTTTACCCACGGGAGCCTTTCGGCTCCTCTGGTAGTTCTGGGCTTCTATTTCTCTGCAGCCTTGGTTCCTCCCAGCATCTGCTGTGGTGCCGGTCCACTGGGACCCACTGTCTCAACTTTGTTCACACACATGATGTAAAGGATATTCTCACTGGATATTGACTCCTGGATTGAATGATCTTTCTTTCAACCCTTCAGATGTGGCGTTCATGATCCATAACATCATATGCCTGACTAGGCACTTCGTTTCAAACAGGTCGTTCTTACAGGGCACGTGGTGTGTCTGGTGGCCTCTGTGCTCCTGGGACCCTTTCCATTCCTGTGTGGAGCGTGTCTCCAGCCTGCCCTCACCCAGGCTGCTTTCCAGGGATCTTCTCCACGTCTGACTTTCAGCAGCTTGGCTGAAGTCACGGCGTGGTTCTTGCGTTTTATTATCTTAGAACTCAGTGACTGTCTGTCTTGAGTCCCTAAGTGAATAGCACGGGTTACTGAGGTGCTGCGGAGCGTCTCCCATTCCGTGATGCTGATCCAATGACAATCGCTTCCGTAATGTCTTCAGATTCACAAACCAACCTGCTGTTCAGTCCATCCGTAAGGTTTTAAATTTCAGACACTACTCTTCACTGGCGGAGTGCATGCTGGATTCTGTTGTAAATCCCACTGCGCTGCTGAGTCACGGTGCACCCGTCACGCCGCCACTCTGCTGAGTCATGGTGCACTCGTCAGGCCACCGCTCTGCTGAGTCATGGTGCACTTGTCAGGCCACCGCTCTGCTGAGTCATGGTGCACTCGTCAGGCCGCCGCTCTGCTGAGTCAGTGGGTGCACCCATCACACCACTGCTCTGCAGAGTCAGGGTGCAGCCGTCACACTGCCGCTCTGCTGAGTCAGTGGGTGCACCCGTCACGCCGCCGCTCTGCTGAGTCACGGTGCAGCCATCAGGTCGCCGCTCTGCTGAGTCAGTGGGTGCATTCGTCACGCCACCACTCTGCAGAGTCAGGGTGCAGCCGTCACATTGCTGCTCTGCTGAGTCAGGGTGCACCCGTCATGCTGCCGCTCTGCTGAGTCAGGGTGCAGCTGTCACGCCGCTGCTCTGCTGAGTCAGTGGGTGCACCCATCACACTTTCGAGTGACAGTATCTCCTCGCTCTGATCAGCCATTGCCCTATTCTTGGTTTCAGGTTCTGTTTTTCTGCCTCCTCCAGCATCTGTTGCTGCTCATGTGGAAGCGGCAGCCTAGTCCCTGCCCCCTTCCTTGGAGGGGCTTTTCCGGCAGCAGTCGCATTCTTGGACAAGGCTTTGGCCCTCTGTGGCTATATTCAGATTTAATTAGAGTTGGTCCATGCTGGTGGCTTTTCCTCTGAAGACACAGCCTCTGTGTTTTCACCTGCATGTGAGAGGGGCTCTGCCATGTGTCTGCACAGTAGGCAGGATTCCTGTCCCCACACCATGCCCAGTGCTCAGCCTGGGGTGCCTCTGTTGCCCTGTGTGCAGGATGCCCTCTGCAAAGACCCTGACCAAGTGCTCCGTCCCCTCATTCCAGCCACCTCACCAGCCCCACCTTTGACCCCGGCCTCAGCTGGGGGCACTGTTTCACCTCTGCCCTCAAACCTGTTCAGAAACTGTGAGTTGTGATGTGGGTAAGTGCAGGGTGTCTTCACCATCTTTGCTCGGTGATCTCCGCTGCTCTGTGTGAGATGGCTGAGCTGCATGGGAGCCAAGGGCCTGGGCTTCCTTTCCCCCAGCACCTCTGCCTCTCCAGCCTCTGTCCAGGGTCCCCCGGGTGCCGGCCCCAAGACAGGTCCCCACCCTCCACCCCGTCTTCCTGGGTACTCACTGAGACTGAGCACTGGGGAGGAGCACCTAGGTCAGACACTGGGGGCAGGCACCCCCAGGAGAGAATTTCTGTTGCATCTTCTCTGATTATAAAAGTAAAACACTGTCATTATCAAGTGAACAAACAAGCAAAACATGGACAAACTGTACAGTGAGGGCCTAGCAGGGGGGCCTGTGGCTGGGCAGGGGAGGCCCACAGCCAGGAAGGGGGCACCTGTGGCCAGGCATGGGGGTCCCACGGCCGGGTAGGAGGGGCCCGCAGCCAAGCAGAGAGGGCCTAGCAGAGGGGGCCTGTGGCTGAGCAGGGGAGGCCCACAGCCAGGAAGGGGGCACCTGTGGCCAGGCATGGGGGTCCCACGGCCGGGTAGGAGGGGCCCGCAGCCAAGCAGAGAGGGCCCTCAGCTGAGCCTGGTATATGTGAGATGTAACCAGCGGCCCCCCCCACCCACCTTCATCATAGCGAGGGTCATCATCTGCGATGTTGGGAGGGGTGGGGACATGTGGATTGTCAGGGTAGTGGGGTCTCAGGAACAAGGACGGAGGGCGAGGGACTTCCCAACCTTGTCACACTCAGCCTAGATTTTAAGGGTCTTCTTGGAAAATGGCATCTTTGGATGTAGCACATTTCCACTATGTTTAATCAAGAGGTGCCATCTTCACTGTCACAGAAGGGTTTGTCTGACAGCCTCATCTTCTCCTGTCTTTGCCCACGTGGCAGCCGGGGATGTCCTTGCCATGGCTAGAGGCAGAGGCTTGCTGTAGGGGCTTGGGATGAACCATCTGCTGTGGGTTCCGAGCTCCTCCCACCCCTGCATTCCTAAACCCCAACAGAGCAGGGGGTCCACTGGTTCCCAAGCCACTGTCATCTCTATAATCTTGTTGTCAGCTAGACTTCCAGCAGAGGCTTGAAGGACTGGCTTTGGAAGAAGACCTGCATCTGGCCTCCCGAGTTTCCTGTTCACTTACAAATGCATTCTCAGGCGCAGCACATGGGCATTTGGGGCCACCATGTCATACTCAGGACATGTTTCTCTACTCATGGTAGCAGGAGAAAGTGTGGTAATAACAATGGCTGCCACGTCTGTGCCGCTTTTCTGTACCGGGCAGGGTGTGCCAGGCAGGTGTCCTGGGCAGCGTGTGCCAGGCAGGTGTCCTGGGCAGGGTGTGCCAGGCAGATGTGTTGGGCAGGTGTGCCAGCCATGTGCATGCTGGGCAGGGTGTGCCAGACAGGTGTGTGCCAGGCAAGGTGTGCCAGGCAGGGTGTGTCAGGAAGGTGTGCCGGGAAGGTGTGTTGGGAAGGTGTGCCAGACAGGGTGTGCTGGACAGGTGTGTGCTGGACAGGTGTCCCAGGCAAGGTGTGTTGGGCAGGTGCGTGCCAGGCAGGGTGTGCTAGGCAGGTGTGTCAGGCAGGTGTCCCGGGCAGGGTGTGTCGGGCAGATGCACCAGACCAGGTGCGCCTGGTGGGGTGTGTTGGGCAGGGTGTGTTGGGCAGGGCACTGCCCTTGCCATGCATTTTCTGTTTGCCAAGTGAGCGGGACACAGCTCATCTCATTCTCCTGTAATCTGGAGGACATGGTGAAGTTGTCCAGCCCGTGTATCTCACTGGCTTGGTCATTGCAGTTGTTTTCTGGAAACCATGCTTTCTGTCCTCCTGAGTGGGTAGATGTGTCTGTTCTTCTGTTCTATGGGTTTTCCATCTCCAGTGGAACTGAACTAGTAACGGCCACAGCGTCAAGTGGGCTTTGAGATTCAAGTCCAGTGTCCCAGTCTTCACTGAGTGCTGGCCTGTGCCTGGCCCTAGTGGGCCACTGCCTTGGGCACTGCGGATGCCCGCCACACCCCTGTGGTCAGGAAGCCCTCGCCTTTGCTTTTGTCTACCCATCATGTCCTTGTGTTTGTATGTGTGCCCCTAGGAGCACGGATTCAGACCCTCCTGAAGGACCTGCGGAGGCAGCCGGCTGAGGCGGGGGACCTGAGTGCCCTGGAACTGGACGGCATGGCTGAGCTGATGGCTGGCCTGATGCAAGGCGGGGACCACAGAGGACCTGGAGGTGGCCCTGGGAGAATGGCCCTGGGAGAGTCTGGAGAACAGACGGATGGCCCCAAGGCCGCCCTCCATGGAGACAGCTTTCCAGGTGACTCCCGCGTGCTGGATGCCCATAGCCAGGGGCGCTGTGGGGAGGGGCAGCCTCGGGGGCTGAGCAGAGACCCCTCAGGGCTGTGCAGAGACCCCTCGGGGCTGTGGAGAGACCCCTCAGGGCTGTGCAGAGACCCCTTGGGGCTGTGGAGAGACCCCTTAGGACAGGGGTCTCTCTCCTGTGGAAAGACTCCTCAGGGCTTCGCAGAGACCCCTCAGGGCTGTGCAGAGACCCCTAAGGGCTGTGGAGAGACTCCTCAGGGCTGTGCAGAGACCCCTTGGGGCTGTGGAGAGACCCTTGGTGCTGTGGAGAAACCCCTCGGGGCTGACAGAGACTCTTCAGGGCTGTGGAGAGACCCCTCAGAGCTGTGCAGAGACCCGTAAGGGCTGTGGAGAGACTCCTCAGGGCTGACAGAGACCCGTCAGCATTGTGCAGAGACCCCTTGGGGCTGTGGAGAGACCCCTAAGGGCTGTGGAGAGACCTGTCAGGGCTGTGCAGAAACCCCTCAGAGCTGTGGAGAGACCCGTCAGGGCTGAGACCCCTTGGGGCTAACAGAGACCCCCTCAGGGCTAAGACCCCTTAGGGCTGTGGAGAGACCCCCTCAGGGCTGACAGAGACCACTCAGGGCTATGGAGAGACCCCTTGGGACTGACAGAGACCCCCTCAGGGCTGAGACCCCTTGGGGCTGTGGAGAGACCCCTTGGGGCTGACAGAGACCCCTCAGGGCTAACAGAGACCACTTGGGGCTGACAGAGACCCCTGGGGGCTGTGCAGAGACCCCTCAGGGCTAACAGAGACCACTTGGGGCTGACAGAGACCCCTCAGGGCTGTGCAGAGATTCCTCAGGGCTGACAGAGACCCCTTGGGGCTGTGGAGACCCCTTGGGGCTGACAGAGACCCCTCAGGGCTGTGCAGAAACTGCAGGCTCACCAGGTGCACTGTGGGCTTTCTGCTGTGATGGGGATTTGTATTGATGATTTTTATCTGTTTGAACTTTTGCCTCTAAAAGCTTTCTTAACAGACTAAGCCTACCAGAGCAATTATGTTGAATGGCAAATTGCTCTCTGAGAGGAGGTTTCTCTCCTCCGTGCTGAGGCTCAGAGCCAGGGAAACAGGCGTGATGGCAAGTGTTGTGTTTGGACTGTGTACAGTGAATATTGTCAAATATTTGAATAGCAGAGTGAGTGGGGATCATTCACACGTCTGCTTGGGGCATGCATTGGCCCTCTGAGGCTACTGGGGAAGTGGAAAGCAGCCCCCCGGCACCCCAACATAGGCAGGCATCTGAGCCCTGCAGAGGCCCATGGGCCAGCCGGGACATCTGCAGCCTGATTGCTTCTCCCATCGTGGAGCTGCAAGAAAGCACCTCGCTCAGCCACACGTGGCAGGCCCATGAGTATGTGCCACAAACCAAATGACAGATGCGCCCCTCTCTCCATCCACACGGGTGCAGAGGAGGGCATGCTGGAAGCTGGAAGGCTGCGTCGGCTGATGGCAGAGGGCAGGGGAGGGGTGGGAGGGCGTGGGGGAAGGGGTGGGAGGGCGTGGGGGAGGGGTGGGACTGCACCCTGGGGGGCCTGTGTTAGGTGGTCGCCTAGCGGTTGAAGGCATTGGGACCCTCACTAGGGATAGGAAGGATGTAGGAGACCCTGGTGTGTGTTCTGTCCTGGGGGTGACTGTTCGGGTGCCATGAGTCACGCACCTTTGGCCATTGCAAGTAGGATATTCATTTATTTATTATTTTACTTATTTATTTTTTTGAGATGGAGTCTCACTCTGTCACCAGACTGGAATGCAAACGCTTGATCTGGGCTCACTGCAACCTCTGCCTTCCGGGTTCAAGGGATTCTCATGCCTCAGCCTCCCAAGTAGCTGGGATTACAGGTGCGCACCACCATGCCCAGCTAATTTTCTGTCATTTTAGTAGAGTTGGGATTCATCATGTTGGCCAGGCTGATCTCCAACTCCTGACCTCATGTGATCCACCCGCCTCGGCCTCCCAAAGTGCTGGGATTACAGGTGTGAGCCACGGCGTCCAGCCAGGATATTTATATAGGCAGAAATGTTGACCGCAGTGAACTCACCTAAGTCGGTGGGCCCTGAAGCCATCTTAACTGTGCGATGGTTTCGGTGCAGGCTGCACTCTGCCTTCAGCACGTGAACTGCTGCTGGGTACAAGCTAACGTTGACAATGAGTGGAGACCCACAGAGCTGGCTGAGGCCGTCGCCTGCCCCTAGCTTGTCAGTCCCCTCCTCCTTCGTGAAGTTTGTGGAACTCCATGTTATGTTATAAACAGGAAAGTTTGACTCTCTGGTAGGACATATGCCGGCGTCATCACACTCGCCTTTTGCCTGGAGGGGTCTGCTCAGCTGCCCTTTCACGGGTGCCATGCCTGCGATGACTCCCGGTGAGGGCTTTGGTAATGCTGGTGTCTTTTGCAGATGACAGAGTGCAGGATGATGACAGACTGTACCAAGAGGTAAGATGACGTCTCTGGCGTTTGTTTTATCTTAATGTGGAAGTTGGTAATTTTTTTGTTCATGGCGTGGGGACACTTACGAAATACAAAAGTTTATTTTCCCCAAAATATTATGGAGAAACCCCTCATTATCTGCAAACTGAAAAACAGTGGAAAGAGAGCATACAAAAGTGTGTATATTTGGATATGTAATGTCTCTTTTTAAATTATGACCTAATTTATCCACTGTAGACATACGAAAATCATGCGAATGCAAAGAAGAAAATTAGTATTTCCCGGAATTTCCCAGCCAGGGTGATCACGTGGCAGCCTGTGGCCGTGTTCCACACGACACCCCCACGCCTGCTGAGTCGTGAGGGGTTCAGCTTGCTCACACCTGGCTGTCCCGTGCAGCACCGCTGGCCACATGTGGCTGGTTAAACCTACATCTAAATTGATTAAAATGAAATGAATAAAAGATGCAGTGCCACGGCTGCACTGGGCACCGGTCAGGGGCCCATTAGTCGCGTGTGGCTCACGGCCAAGGTGCTGCACGCCGCAGGCAGAGAACACTCTACCATCCTAGAGCCCCTGCGGACGCCACTGCTCCGAGGCAGCCGGGAGAAGAGCCCGGTGGCCGGCGATGTCCACGCGCTACTCGCTGGTCTTCCCTGTTAAGTCTGTTCGCCTCTTAGTCCCCCCACTTCGAGAACCTTTGGTCATTAATACGAGGCCGAAGGATGAAGACTTGTCCTCGGCATCAGCAGTGACCTCGCAAGAGGAGCTTTGGCTAGTCCCTCTCCTCAGACTCTTAGTGGGTTGCGGTTCCGTGCCTGTTAGCGAGGATTGAAGGAAGCCTCCGCGGTTCTTGTTTTGAATATTCATCAGAAATGATGGGACTTGCCCTCTGAGCTGTGGAGGGAGACGTGGGGCTGAGACACACGTTTCCTCACTTAGGGAGAGGGAGAGACCCGAGGGGCAGGAGCGCCTCCCTGACTTTAGACCACAGCCTCTCCATCCTCTGTGAGTGGAACTTTGAGTCCTCTGTTGTTAGGGGTGTATTTTCTATTTTTTTTTTTTTTTTGAGACGGAGTTTCGCTCTTGTTACCCAGGCTGGAGTGCAATGGTGCAATCCCGGCTCACCGCAACCTCCACCTCCTGGGTTCAGGCAATTCTCCTGCCTCAGCCTCCCTAGTAGCTGGGATTACAGGCAGGCGCCACCACGCCCAGCTAGTTTTTTGTATTTTTAGTAGAGACGGGGTTTCACCATGTTGACCAGGATGGTCTCGATCTCTTGACCTCGTGATCCACCTGCCTCGGCCTCCCAAAGTGCTGGGATTACAGGCATGAGCCACCGTGCCCGGCCTAGGGGTGTATTTTCAAGCAGTTCTGTTTTTCAAAAAGGTATGTGAGTGTCATATTTTCTGCGTTCTTATTTATTTAAAAACATCTTTCTTTTTCTTCTCACACGAAGCCCAATTTAAGTGAGAATATTAGAATGTTACGCCTTTTCCTGGCTCTGTTTAGTGACGTCAACTCTCAGTCCTGTTGTCACTGAGGATCCAACTTGAGCAATGTTTTTATCACACAACTATTTTGTTTAAATTTTCAAAAATGCAAAAGGAAAAGTTGTCATTTGCAGCCAAAATGAGAGCAATTGCCTTTATAGCCCTTCCGTAATTTTCATAAAAGTGTCTTTTGGCAAAGTGACTCATAAACCGGATCAGATTTTCCTGTTTCTGTATAATAAAATATTGAAGACGTGATTTCGTGGTTGGAAAAAACCCTTCCAAGTGGGCATAAGACTTCTGCCATCACATGCGCCAGAAGGTGTCCACGGGCTGCCTGGCACATGCCCGCAGTGGGAGCAGCCCCGTCTTTCTTAGGAAGCAGCGTGGGGTGCCTGGGAGGGCAGTGCGGCCCGTGGTGGAGAGCACGTCTCTGACGTCCCTTAGACCGAGTTCTAATTCTGACCTGGGGTGGAGAGCACGTCTCTGAAGTCCCTTAGACCCCAGTTCTAATTCTGACCCTTGGCGGGGAGAGCACGTCTCTGATGTCCCTTAGACCCCAGTTCTAATTCTGACCCTTGTGGGGGAGAGCACGTCTCTGACATCCCTTAGACCCCAGTTCTAATTCTGACCCTTGTGGGGGAGAGCATGTCTCTGATGTCCCTTAGACCCCCATTCTAATTCTGACCTGGGTGGGGAGAGCACATCTCTGACGTCCCTTAGACCCGAGTTCTGATTCTGGATATGATCCTCACGACCTTTGTGATCTGGTACAAATAATTTAATATTTAGCCTCTGTAAACCCCAGGGTCTATAAATTAAAGGTGAAACTCACCCTTTATTTGGGGGGTTGGAGTAGTAATTGAATGAGGCACATTGCAGGAAGCAAGTCCATTTCCTGCATCATCAGCAGAGAATGATGGGGACCCGGCTGGGACAGCGTGGCCCACGTGAGGACCACAGACCCCCCAGATACCGCTGGAATCAATTTCACATCCCTGTGACATGCCCACTCATGGGTTAATCCCTTCGTGCCTCCATTTCCCCTTCTGTGAACTGGGGTTACCGAGGGTTCCTTGCTCATAGGCTTACATGAGGCCCCAGTGTGTTCGTGCATATAACGCATTTAGTCCAGATCTCGTTCCATGCAGATTTATCATTATTATGAAGTGTCCATTGCTTCTAGAGGGCAGCGGTGGGATCTTGCTGTCATACAGTTTATTTTTAAAAATATCTATGCCATAGACCTACACAGACTCTACAAAATCTGTTTCTTCAGAGAGGTGTGTGCGTGTGCACGTATGTGTTGGGGGGAAGAGAACACCACGTAAGTGATTTGGATACTCAGGGCCCTCACGCTCGACACTCACCTAGATGTTGTTCTAAATATAGACTGCACACACTTCGCCTCCTCCCCCCTCCTTTCAGGCTGCCCATGTCATCCCCACGGGTGACCGTGTCCCCGGCCAGCCGGTGATTGCATATGTCACATCAGCATTTGTCTTGCAAACTTCCCCTCACAGAATGTCCTCTCTGCCAGGTCCATCGTCTGAGTGCCACGCTCGGGGACCTCCTGCAGGAGCACGAGTCTCAACTCTCGCCTGGAGCCCTCCCCTTTGCAAAGCCCCTCAAAATGGAGAGGAAGGAATCAGAGCACCCCGAGGCTTCCCTGTCTTCAGAAGAGGAGACTGCCGGAGTGGAGAACGTCAAGAGCCTGACGTACTTCAAAGACCTGCTGGGGCTGCAGCCACATTTGCAGCCCGGGGCCGGCAGGTTTGCAGAGCTCCAAAGCCTGGTGCCCGAGCCTTCGAAGGAGGAGCAGAGCCTTCCAGCGGGTGCTCGGGAGGTGCTCGGCGACGGCCTGCAGTTGGAGGTCAAGCCTTCCGAGGAAGAGGCGTGGGGTTACATCGTGACGGACAGAGAGTGAGTAGCAGCCTGGACTCAGGTCCTGTGCTCGGAGGGAGGGCTCATGTCCCAGGGGCTGGAGGTGGGGCGCCTCCTTGCTTTGAGGGAAGCTTTTGCTTTTATTGTAAGTATCTTTAACTGAATAATGGGGTGCAGGCATCCCCGGAGTCTTAGGTGGGGAAGGTGGCCAGGTGCCTGGCTGGTGGCTCCTCCTGGTGCTTCTGAGCTGGGCTCCAGAGCTTGAGGGCCATTCTCTGAAGTTCATCACACAAAACCAAACCAAGCAACTCCCTTCCTGGGTTCTTGGTCCTGATGGGTCACCTGCGGGCAGTGCCTCTCTGCAGGTCAGAAACACCTTCAGCGGGGACCAGACAAGGTGGGAGCTCAGGGCAGGCATGGCTGCAGCAAGGCCTGGGCATCATGGCTCTCCCAGCATGCCCCGTGCAGGAATGTGGGATGGGATGTGGCCCTCAAAACTGCTCCACGTCAGACTCCTGACTGTTAGGAAGGACTCCAGGCGCTTTATCTGTGTTGCACCAAAGTGGCCCCAATATCCTGGTGTGGGCGCCCTTCAGAGGGAAGAGAGGCTTCACAGCAGTGCTCTTTCCCACCCTCATGTCGACCTGAACTTAACAAGGTTCAGAATTCAGGCATCATGGGCCCAGCAAGGCGCAAGTGGTTGGCCCGTTCTCAGGTCACCCCATTATCAAATCTGACATGTTATGCTTTGCTTTGTACAAGTTTTGTGTTTTCTTCGAGTGATGGAAGCGGCGTTTCAAAGAGAAGGATGTGTCTGGCTGGCTGTACACACACCCATGTGTGTGTGTGTATGTGTGTATATGTGTTTGTGTGCTGGATAGATGTGTGTGTCTGTGCATATGTATATGAGTGTGTATGTTGGGTAGATGTGTGTGTGTGTATATCTGTGCATATGTATTTGAGTGTGTGTGTTGGGTAGATGTGTGTGTCTGTGCATATGTATATGAATGTGTATGTTGGGTAGATGTGTATGTGTGTGTGTCTGTGCGTATGTATTTGAGTGTGTGTGTTGGGTAGATGTGTGTGTATGCATGTGTGTGTATGTGAGTGTGTATGTTGGGTAGATGTGTGTGCATATGTATATGACTGTATGTTGGGTAGATGTGTGTATGTGCATCTGTGCATAAGTATACAAGTGTGTATGCTGGGTAGATGTGTGTGTATGTATGTATGTATGTTGAATAGATAGATATGTGTGTATATCTGTGCATATGTGTGTGAGTGTGTATGTTGGGTAGATGCAGTGTACACATGTGTATGTATCTGTGCATATATATGAGTGTGTATGTTGGGTAGATGTGTGTGTATCTCTGCATATGTGTGTGTGTGTGTATCTGTGCATATGTATGTAGTAATTTTGCCTTTTGGTTCGGATATGCATCTGTTCAGGTATTTCCTCCTTGGTTAAGAAGTCCGTCTCATTTCAAGGATTATTCATAGTGGAGGTGGGAGCTGCATTACAGCTAGAACCCATCTCTCCTGCGCACTCTGAGATCCTCCCTGTGCTCAGCCTGGTGCTAGCTGTCGCTGTGCTGGAGATGCCACATTTCATCTGGGAGAATTGGTGGCATATCATAAACTGGGCAGAAATATTTTATCTTGAGCTCAAACCACAGAGTGTATATCAAAGCCTCACAACACAGACACGCAGCCTCAGAACACAGACACACGGCCTCAGAACACAGACACGCAGCCTCAGAACACAGACACGCATCCTCAGAACACAGACACGCGGCCTCAGAACACAGACACGCATCCTCAGAACACAGACACGCGGCCTCAGAACACATTACTTAGAACCTGCCTGTGTCTGTGTTCTGAGGATGCGTGTCTGTGTTCTGAGGATGCGTGTCTGTGTTCTGAGGCCGCGTGTCTGTGTTCTGAGGATGTGTGTCTGTGTTCTGAGGCCGCGTGTCTGTGTTCTGAGGCCGCGTGTCTGTGTTCTGAGGATGCGTGTCTGTGTTCTGAGGCGGCGTGTCTGTGTTCTGAGGCCGCGTGTCTGTGTTCTGAGGATGCGTGTCTGTGTTCTGAGGATGCGTGTCTGTGTTCTGAGGATGCGTGTCTGTGTTCTGAGGCCACGTGTCTGTGTTCTGAGGATGCGTGTCTGTGTTCTGAGGCCGCGTGTCTGTGTTCTGAGGATGCGTGTCTGTGTTCTGAGGCCGTGTGTCTGTGTTCTGAGGATGCGTGTCTGTGTTCTGAGGCCGCGTGTCTGTGTTCTGAGGCCGCGTGTCTGTGTTCTGAGGCCGTGTGTCTGTGTTCTGAGGTCGCGTGTCTGTGTACTGAGGCCGCGTGTCTGTGTACTGAGGCCGCGTGTCTGTGCTCTGAGGCCACGTGTCTGTGTACTGAGGCCGCGTGTCTGTGCTCTGAGGCCGCGTGTCTGTGTACTGAGGCCGCGTGTCTGTGTTCTGAGGCTGCGTGTCTGTGCTCTGAGGATGCGTGTCTGTGTTCTGAGGCCGCGTGTCTGTGTTCTGAGGTTGCGTGTCTGTGTTCTGAGGTTGCGTGTCTGTGTTCTGAGGCCGTGTGTCTGTGTTCTGAGGTTGCGTGTCTGTGCTCTGAGGCCGCGTGTCTGCGTTCTGAGGCCGCGTGTCTGTGCTCTGAGGATGTGTGTCTGTGTTCTGAGGCTGCGTGTCTGTGCTCTGAGGATGCGTGTCTGCGTACTGAGGCTGCGTGTCTGCGTTCTGAGACTGCGTGTCTGTGCTCTGAGGATGCGTGTCTGTGTTCTAAGGATGTGTGTCTGTGTTCTGAGGTTGTGTGTCTGTGTTGTGAAGTTGCGTGTCTGTGTTCTGAGGCTGCGTGTCTGCGTTCTGAGGATGCGTGTCTGCGTTCTGAGGTTGCGTGTCTGCGTTGTGAAGTTTCGTGTCTGTGTTCTGAGGTTGCGTGACTGTTCTGAGATTGCATGTCTGCGTTCTGAGGTTGCGTGTCTGCGTTCTGAGGTTGTGTGTCTGCATTTTGAGGTTGCGTGTCTGTGTTCTGAGGTTGCGTGTCTGCGTTTTGAGGTTGTGTGTCTGCGTTCTGAGGTTGCGTGTCTGCGTTCTGAGGTTGCGTGTCTGCGTTTTGAGGTTGTGTGTCTGTGTTTTGAGGTTGCGTGTCTGCGTTGTGAAGTTTTGTCCTGAGGATGTGTGTCTGTGTTCTAAGGTGGTGTGTCTGTGTTCTGAGGATGCATGTCTGTGTTCTGAAGTTGCATGTCTGTGTTCTGAGGCCGTGTGTCTGTTCTGAGGTTGTGTGTCTGCACCAGCAGAGCCAAGGGAGGTGCCTGCCTCAGCCCCTAGTGACACAGACTCTTAACACAACCGATTCCCACGTGAGATGAAACACCCTGTGCTGTGACGTCTCCCCATTATCATGACCAATTCCCACATGTGATGAAATGCCCTGTGCTGTGGACGTCTCCCCATTATCATGACCAATTCCCATGTGTGATGAAACTCCCCATGCTGTGACGTCTCCCCACTATCACGACTGGTTCCCACGTGTGATGAAACTCCTCATGCTGTGACGTCTCAGCGTATAACAACTGATTCCTATGCATGGTCAAATGACCCATGCTGTGGCCATCTCCCTCCCTAGGAGACACTGCTATGTGTGCAGCGTGTGTGGTATGAGGTGTGTGTGATGGGTAGTGATGAGTGGTGATGTGTGGTGTGGTATGTGTTGCATGTGTGTTGTGTGTATTGTGTGTTGTATGTGTGGTGTGTGTTGTATTTGTGTTGTGTGTTTGTGTGCTATATTGTGTATGTGTGCTGTTTATTGTATATGTGGTGTGGTATGTTTTGCATGTCTGTTGTTTGTAGTGTGTGGTGTGTGTTGTCTGTGTGGTGTGCAGTATGTTGCATTGTGTGTTGTATGTGTGTTGTGTGTTGTGTG